TGACAGTCATGAGACTTTAGGTTATGGAACTTTTTCTCTGGCATATTCATTATTCCCTTTATATTCGACGAGAAGCCAGACGGGACCTTCATACTGAGCAGGCATTCAAAGAAGATTTCCTTCTCTTCTTTGGTAAGAGCGTAGCTGACAGGACCTTCATACTACTTTGGAGACATGTCGCCTTTTTCGTGCAAACGTTGCAGGTCCTCCCATGCCTCCGGTGTATCTTTTGTCTTCCCATACACGCCCAAGAAGCATAGCAGGTTCATGCAAAGGTTCTGCGTCATGTGCATCACGTCGATTGAAGAGCGGGCCTCTAGCTCTTTCCAGTAGGGTAGGTCCCAAAATATAGATTTCTTCTTTCACATGGGTGCGCGTCCCTCAGCGTCATTCAGAACAGATAGTCCGCAGAGACCCTTTCCAAAGATTACGTGTAAATCATTGACCATAGCAAGTACGTGATCACCGGTACGCATGGCGGGCTTCCTCCGGTGATCTGCCTCGCCTTTGAAATGTTTGCCTTTCTTTCGACATTGATGGTTGGTTGAAAGAAATTGACGATGGCCCAGGTACACATTCTTCCTGCATTTTTCCAGGTATATACTTTCGGTGTTAGCTAAACAGTGCGTGCATGCGTGGTATCCCTTGTTTGTTTGTCCTGAAAGGTTACTGAGAGCGGGCCAATCGTTGATGGTTACAAACAGCAACGTGTGCAGGTTAAATTCCTCCTGTTTGTGCTCATCCCACACACGTACACCATTTCCATTCCACAATTGTAAAAGTTCTTCGACTAATGTCCTTAGGTACACATCAATGTCGTTGCCGGGTTGCTTAGGGCCTTGGATGAGAACTGACATCATAATGAACTTCTGCTTCATGCACATCCAAGGAGGAAGGTTATACATACATAGAGTCACAGGCCAGGTGTTGTGATTGTTGCTCTGCTCCCCGAAAGGATTAATGCCATCCATGCTTAAACCAAACCATACTTTCCTTGGGTCACCTCCAAACTCAGCCCAGTACTTTCTCTCAATTTTTCTCCATTGCGACCCGTCAGTGGGTGCTCTCAACTTCCCGTCTTTCTTACGGTCCTCTCTATGCCATCGCATCAACTTGGCATGCTCTTCATTTCTGAACAGACGTTTCAACCGTGGTATTATAGGAGCATACCACATCACCTTCGCAGGAACCCTCTTCCCGGGGGGCTCACCGTCAACATCACCAAGGTCATCTCGTATGATCTTATACCGCAATGGACCACATACCGGGCATGCGTTCAAATCCTCGTACGCATCACGGTAGAGGATGCAGTCATTAGGGCATGCATGTATCTTCTGCACCTCCAATCCTAGAGGGCATACAACCTTCTTTGCTGCGTACGTACTGTCAGGAAATTCCTTATCATTTAAGCTTCTTCTTCAATATTTTCAGTAGCTTCTCAAATCCTTTGTCAGACACAGCATTCTCTGCCTTCCACTGCAGCAATTCCAGTACGGTACCGAGCTTTGTGTTGCCATCTTCGCAATTGGGGTACAACCCTTTTTTGTGATCCTCTAACATGCGATCGAACTTCATCTTCTCCTTTTGACTTTCGCATTGTGTCCTTGCATCAACAATGACCCGGCGAAGATCATCATCATCGGACACATCATCTGGTTTCTCTTGATCTTCAGCAGCTTCCCCCGTTGCAGCATCACCGTATTCAGGGGGCACATAGTTGTCATCGTCCTCTTCTTCTTCGCTGTCTTCCAACATAACACCTATTTCTCTGTGCTTTATCCAAACATTATAGTGTGGCATGAAACCCTTATAAAGCAGGTGGGTGTGAAAGATTTTTCCGGTCAGAGTAAGACTTCGTATTCCCACAATTAGGGCATAGACAACACATAAAATCATTCTGCTTGTTTGCCCAAGCCACTTCGAGAAAATTATGCAGGCCCTTAATTTACTCGGAGGTGTGTCCGTCACTGTACATCCATTGCCGGTTCATCTGCGTGCATTATATATAATTATGTGTGTCAAAAACCATCACAGATTCACATGGATAGATAAGTGACCAATTAATAGAAGTTCATCATCACATTAAAACCAAAGTACATACATAGTTCTCATTGAACAACATATAGCTCTCCAAAGCATCTAGTTAAACCATACATTGAAACTATGTAAAACCTTTCAATGTAACAACAAATGCGATCATAATCACAGCCAAGGTAAAAATTGATCCAACGACATAATGATACCAGGCCTCGGTATGAATGGCATATTTTCTAATCTTTCTAATCTTCAACCGCATTGCATCCATCTTGATATTGTGATCATCGACGACATCCGCAACATGCAACTCCAATATCATCTTCTCCTCCTCAATTTTTTTATTTTGTCCTTCAAATAATTGTTTTCTTCTCAACTAAATTTAACCTTTCGACAATAGGGTCGGTTGGAATTTCCGGTTCAACTACCTCCTAGATAAATAAAATCTATGTCAACTTGATGGGCATAATTGTCATAAACAATAAATGAACCAAATAGTTATACATATAATATATACCACATCTGAATCATAGCCAGGACGAGGGCCGACGGGGGCGGATACCAAAACCATCGCACTATATAATAACAAGCAATAATAAAAGTAAAAAAATTAGGCAAGTATCTATCTAAAGTAAGAATTTTTTTTCTTTCAGAAGAAGATAAGAACAAGAGGCTCACCACGGTGGTGCAGGCGAAGAGATCGGCGCGGGCGATCGACGGCGGCGAAGACGGAGACGGGACGTGACGGACCGCTAAACCTAGACAAATCTCGGGGAAAATGGAGCTTGGAGGCCGAGCTTCGAGAGGAGAAAGCTTAACTAGTGTGGCTCGTGCATTTCATCGAACACCTCGTGTGCATAGGAGGTGAGTTAGAGCACCACAAAGCTCTCCCCTCGCCGGCCAGAAAAAACAGAGCAGTGTGGAGTGCTCTGCTCGCGGATGAGGGGTATATATAGCCATCTCATTGGTCCTGGTTCGTGATTGGAACCGGGACTAAAGGCCCCCCTTCTGTCCCGGTTCTAGGCACGAACCGAGACCAATGGTTGTGGGCCAGGAGCGAGGCCCATTGGTCCCGGTTCATGCCTAGAACCGGGACAAATGGGTCCACATAAACCGGGACAAATGCCTCCCGAGGCCTGGCCGGGCCCCTGGGCGCACGAACCAGGACGTATGCCCCCCATGGGTCCCGGTTCTTGACTGAACCGGGACTAATGGGCTTGGCAGACTCTAACCAAAGTCCTGTTTTCTACTAGCTAGTGTATGTTTAGGAGAGTAAAATTTTCCCTTGGTTGGTCATTGTGATACAAGCCAAGGAGTATTCTCCATATATCTTCATCTTAATATTTTGCATTGGCTGATCATTGTGATACGAGCCAAAGAGCACTTATATTTAAGAGAGGAAAATTTGTCCCTGGTTGATCATTGTGATACAAACCAAGGAGCATTCTTCATATAGCTGCATCTTGACATTTTGCTTTGGCTGATCATCATGATACAAGCCAAAGTGCGAATATGTTTAAGGGCAACAAAAATACTCCTTGGCGGATCATCATGATACAAATCAAGGAGCATACGACATATAATTCCATCTTGTCATCTTTGCCTTGGTTGATCATCGTGATACGAGCCAAAGTGCGATTATGTCAAAGAGGATAAATTTCACTCCTTGGTTGATCATGGCGACCCAAACTAAGGAGGATATATTTTCCTTTCCATCGTAGATGAGAGCGACGCAAAGATAAAGCTTGGGGAAAAACAAATATGAAACATACACGAACCCTAGATGACTATCTACATAAAATCATAAAATGTATATGTGCCTACAAAAAAATGCACTCGTCATTTGCTGCATGTTTGAGTTGCATAAAACAAGACCATGTAAATTGTGCATGTACCTCCTGATCTAGTGCACAAAAAAATGTATAAATTAGGTGTTTGCCAAATTATATTTGAAGCCTCTAGTTGGTTACATTGTGGACATGCATGCTATGTCACGTCAATAGTAATACAAACAGGGGGTACAAATGTTATATACATCTCTCATATAGATGATTAAATAAATATACTCTAATGCATATAGAACGTGCTGAGTGAAATCCAACGTGTAGACATGAGATAATGAAAATACTAGTTGTCTCGATTCGCACTTAAATAAAATATGCCCATAAAAGAAAATTAATGTGTGTAGGTTAAGTAAAATATAATTCTACATATCTAGAGTGTAGAGGCTCTATGCAACACACATGTACTGTCCACTGATGGTTAGAATATATGCATGTGACCCATACTAAAATAAAAGATATTGCACCTCATCAAACATATCAAACAAGATAACATAGGGGATGGTTCTGATATTAGGGGTATGTTTGGATTGTGCCCCATCTAGCCCTACCAAATTATTGGCATCGCTAACTTGAAGGCAAGACCAAAAAATTGGCAGGTTATGGCTGTTTGGTTTGTAGCCTATAGCACTTGCCAACTTTTTGGCAAAACCATTGGCCAGCGTTTGGTTTGAAGCCAAATATTTGGCAACCTTGATTGGACTGTGTTTGGTTTGGTTCCAAAATGCATGCCAGCCAAAAAGTGATCAGCATCAGACACTACCTCACATATATCACATGACATTAATACAAATTTTCAATTTAGAAACACACAGAGAGACAAACTGTAAGCATGCATTTTCATAAATTGACAATGACATGGTTCAACTAATACATTAGATAACTCATATTGTTCGATACATCAGATTAATCATCAAGGAGGCTAAATAAAATTCACATAGTAACCAAGTCTTTACCAGACCAAGTAAGTCATACTAGTCAGACTAGCACCAAGTCTGCTCCATATAAACAAAATATGATGCACCCAGCCTGCTCTATATAGACAAAATATGCATGATGTATGTTACCCATGCTCCTAGCGGTAAACAAAAGGAAGCCGCAATCTCTATCTAGTCATGTGGCCATTCAGTGAGCAGTTGCAGATCCACCATTGCCACCATCTTCTTGAAACCGAGGCTCGAAGAAGCTAAGGATCCACTGTCCAAGAATTGTTTCATCAGCATAGTTGAGGTAACTACGAAAGATATCTTGATCTGGCTTGGATAGATATGCTACAATCTCAAGTTTATCCTTAGCTGGTATGGTAAGGGCATTTATCCGCTTCCAAAGGTTTGCATATGGATCTGTAGGTGGCATTGGTTGCACAGAAACAATAGGAGATGCAAGAGAGTCAGCTAGCTTCTTGATACTGGCTGCCATATCATCATTAGATATCTTGCCCTTCTTGTTTGCTTTCCCCTTAGTTGGCTTCTTGGAAGGTGAAGATGACACGTGCTTGCGCTTCTTGTTTAAAGAATTGCCTTCCAAGTCAACTTTAGGACTATGACGATTAATAGTGTCAGAGTCAGCTTCATCACTGTCAACTGGAATTAGATTGGCCTCAAGTTCCCTCACTTCCTCGCTGTCATCACTATCATCATCCACATTGACAGTGGTTTGGTCAGTTGCAAGCGAGCCATCAGCATGGGACTGGTCAGAGAATAACTCTTGCAATTGATTAAAAAACCTGATGGGTCTAGTAAGATAATTGACTGCAGTTTTCTGCACATAAGGTAAAGAAAAAGATGGTAAAATACTAAGCAATCACAATAAAGGACAATGAATAGGAAGCACATATATGGACAATAGCAGCCTATCCACCTATTTTCATATTAGACTATGATAGAAGCAAGAGAACACAGTAATACAAACTTACACTTAGGTTTTGTTTTTCTGACTCAGAAAGTGTGAATGTGAAATTAATCCTGTCAAAGCCGTTGCCACTATTGGCCATGGCGCGACGCACCCAGCCCCACTTCTCCTTGCATGACCGGTAGTGTCGGTCCACTTGGGTTTGAGTGACACCAAGAGAAAACTTGCCATTCAAAGCATCAGCACAGTGCAAGTGGTGCTGTTTCTTGAACTTGAAAGTTGCAGGTTTGTCCTTACGAAGCTCAATGTACCAATCAAGCATAAACCTTGTCGCCTCGTCAGTCCAGGTTATGTACTTCTCACGAGGATTTGACTCCTCCTCGGTCTTTATAGTGAGCTTTTGCTTCCCCATGACCTGCAGATAGGTCACCAACACAAACCATTTAAAGTGATTAAACAAATGCACTAGAAGCATAGTCCCGACCAGCATACAAACACCCATCTTCAGCAACACTTGAAGCTTACATACTAAAATAAGTCAGACAATCTTACAATGATAAAATAAGTTGCATAAATTCATCAAAATCAAAACACTACATCCTTCAATTGTTCCCTCACATGAAAATACATCAAAGATACACTACAAGCTTCGACATCTGTAGCTTCAAAATCAAAACACTACATCCTTCAATTGTCACTTGCACTCTCTCTATCTGCCCACATCTGTTGAGCTAATAAATCACGCTTGGCAGCCCACTCACGTATGTCAGCCTCTTCATCACGAACCCATCCACTACTCCTTGGGAGGTTGGCATACCATGTCGCCTCATCCACAACATATTCATCTGGACCATTTTCTAATATCCAATTGTGCAAAGCACAACAAGCAACTACCACCTTAATCTGAGATTTTAAAGGTATGAAGGGCCTCTGAGTAAGAATCTTGAAGCGACTCTTAAGAGCCCCAAATGCTCGTTCAACTGTGGTCCTAAGTGATGAATGACGGTGGTTGAATAATTCTTTTTCAGTAGTTGGTTCATGGGGTCCAGCAAATTCATTTAGGTGGTAACGCACACCACGATAAGGAGGCAATATCCCCGGCCTTGCAGCATACCCGGCATCAGCCAAGAAAAATTTCCCTACAACCATGTTGCACTAATGGTGAGCTGAGGTCAAGTTGGAACGCCACAATGACAAACATGTATGTTAAGTTGTATATGTACCTTCGGGTATTTTCAGACCTGTTGGACGTGAGAGGGCATCTTTTAGCACAAGAGAATCATGGGCAGAGCCCTCCCAACCAGCTAGAACATGTGAACCGAAGGTCGAAGTCAACAACTGCTAGCACATTTTGGGAGGGATATGACTTGCGGCCCCTAAATTTGTCCACCATGTGAGCAGGAACACAAGCCTTAACATGAGTGCCATCTAGTGCCCCTATGCATCCCTACGAATATGAAAAAGGGAAGTTCATGTCAAGCTTGGGCTAGGCCGATCTTGTATAATCAGTAAAAAAATCTATGGTCTAAGGATTACCTCAAAGTACGGGTAGAATCTGTTCGGGCTGCTAGTGATTTTTGTGTGTGTGTCCGTCGATCTAATATAAATTAGATCACGTGCTAACTCCCCCATCGCACGCAGGACAATATTGAAATATCTGCTCACTGTTTCACTAGATCGCCAGAACCAAAATCCAACAGATGAATTTGTGTGATGCTGACCGACCATGTATAGGAACATTGCAACTTGTTCCTCTACCGAAACATGAAATGTGTCACTTAACAACTCCTTCTGCCTAAGCCTGTTACATAGCTTGTAAAATACAGCTCGAGTCATCCTTAATTGCTTGATGCATGTTGCATCCGATGTGTCAAAGAGCCTAATTAGTACATTAGTTTTGTAGATGTCTCTCTGAACTAATGGACCATACTTCCTGCCTTTACCTCTAAATTTTCTACCATCTCTGCTTCTATACCAGAGGGCCAAGAGTAGAACAATAACACAGAGAGTTCTCCGCTTCAACATGTTGTAATAATAATATCTTTGTTGATCCATGTCCATCTGGGTCAATATGAAATGTACAAAAATATGAATGAGCTAACTTGGTACATTATTACAAATGATTACTTGCTAAAAGATACATGTTAGAAAGCAAACCTGCTTCTAACCAGTACCAAGGATGCACAACTTGTAAAAAAAATACACCTTGATGGACAAAAAATCGAAGCATGTCTCAGTAGTTAACTATGTATATCCAACTTCAAAAAATCCACCTTAATGTTCTAAAAATAGAGACCATACATATGGCACAAAAAGGGAAGAACAGACCATACTACTTTCAGAACCATACCAGGTTAATTAACTAATTAACATCATTATTCTCATGTGATTTGACTTGCGTCAAATAAAGAACATGGATCACCCACAAAAAAAACAAAGAATATGGATGAGAGTCTCATATGTTTTTACTTGCAGCAAACCAACAACATGCACGGGAGTCCCATTCCAATTTTACTTCCAGCAAACAGGGAAGAGGATTCAGCAAGCAATTCTCAGATCTAGCAAGTAGTACCTCCGTACAATACATACATCCATAAGGGGATGATGGGGATTTGAGCTCACAAATCAGACCATAGAAAAGGGGATCAGAGTAGTGTTGGATGGGGATTTCAGTGGCTGACCTTGGAGCGTAGCTTGACTGGGAGAGGAGGGCGAGAGGTGGAGCAGCGTCGCCGGTCGCCGGCCGCCGGAGAAGCTGGCACCGACGCAGAACGCGGCCGCCCGGTGATTGGATCGAGAGCGCTTCTGTGCGTGGAGATAAGAAGAGAGATGGGGAAAGTGGCGAACAGGTGGGGAAAAATCAATCATGCCTTTTATATCACGGTGGCTGGCTCGCGCCAGATTTGGCAGCCAATATTTTGGCGGCTGATTTCCGTGCCGCTGTTTCGCCCGCGAGTTGGCGAAAACGGTACGCGGGCGCGCTCAAGTCGACGATGGCGAGCCAAAAATGATACCAGACCAAACGCTAGCCAAATATCATGGGCGTGACCAATTTTTTGGTAAGGCTAGTGTTGGTCACCATCCAAACAGCCCCTAGAACCCCCTTTTGCTAAATTTCCATGCATGCGCAGAGGCCAACATGGATTAAATCATGTGCCTCATCATCTTATGCATGTTCATATGTGCATTAATAAAAGATGTAACATGCATGTATTAAGTGGATACTCTTCTAGTCGACTTACACTCGTTAAAATGAAATGACCAAAAAACTGATTAAGATAGCCGCATGGTCATACTAGCATATGTTGGTTAAGTCGACTACACAAATTAGGTGTCCCATGCAAAAAAACATTGTTGAGGAAATCGTTAACTGGTAACTACTCGATTGGCTGGCGAGTAGGGGATTAATAGGCTAATCAACAAGTTAATTAGCCATTTAATCAATTAATCGGATGATTTATCAATTTATCGGCTACTCGGTGACCCTACGAGTAGGGATTAATCGACAAGTTAACTGGTTAATCGGATGAATTCTTGAACAGGACAAAAAGCATGCATTGCACTCATACTCTACGTACTGCTCATAAGAGTGCAAGAGTAAAAATATAAATGAACAAGACACATGATAACTTGAAGAAGATCGAGAATGCTCCCTCGAGCACACCGGCGTCAACGACAGCGAGGCGGAGTGATTTTTCTTTATCATTTTATAGTAGTCATGTGTTGCAATTCTATATAATAAGATAGTTGGAATTCTTAATCAGAGGTTTTCTCTTCAGAGATATAATTAATAGAATTTTTATATAAATATAAGAGTTCTGAAAATAATGTACCTGCAATGTTTGATCTTTATTTTTATTTTATGCATTTAAGTTTCACTATGTATCAATGACGTGGACGCGTGTCTCACGCCCGCCACTTTCCCGTCATCACCAGTATCCACAAGGCGCGTGGGGTAGCCAGCAGAGTGTCACGTCGCCGGCCAACTTCTCGCCGCTAGTGTGGGGGTACACGCCGACCTTTTGATCACCGGACTTTGGCTATGTTCGATCGCCGACCTGTGGCATGATGATCGCCGACCTGTGACATGATGATCGCCGAACCTGTGTCGTTTTTTGGTAGCGGGAAAGAGAACTTTGAAATTTTATGCGTTTGGGGGTCAAAACCTGAGGGCACGGGCTAGAAACTTGTTTTTCATCAGACCGAAAAAATAAAACCGTTCGACGCAAACGCGCAAAGGCCTTCATCGGATGCGCTGGGGGCAAACAGCTGGAAATGCTCTGAGTTCGCTGGAGGAGGCGCACCATGCGGACGTTTTCCTTTAGCTGACGTGTCACTCAGGCCTGCTTTGAGATGCGGGTAAATGATCCAACGGCCTCCAGGCAGTTCGCGCGAGAGTTCAACTCGAAGGAATAACGACGGGAGCCACGAACGCGGGATTGACCGCCGCTCGCCGTAGCCGCTTCCGCGGGGACGCGCAGAAGCTTCGCCGCCCCATAGTTTACCACTTTCGTCAATGGATCAAGTTCTGCCCACCCCCACTCCCACTTTCCAACCTCGCAGCCCTCCGGCGGTCCTCCCCAACTTCCTGCCTGCGGGCCTGCGGCCGTCCTGCTCGCCGGCGGTGCGAGGGGAGGGGGGCGCACCCACCAGCAGCGACCTACCTAGCAGTTTCTCCGTCTCTACAGTAGCTACTGTCGACCGTTGACGGCGACTCCCTGCGCCGTATGTGTCATGCCACCGCAGGTACAGAGGTACCCAGATCTGCTCTTCGGTTCTTCCTCCCCCTTTCTCTGTTTTTTTTATGTCTCATCATACGATTTACTTCACACACGTCGCCGGCGACATCCATGTACTCCTAGTAGTTTTTCCTTCTGGGGTATTTTCTGCTAAGTTGAGAGACATTATTGTAATCAACTCTGATTGGGCCCAAAGTTTAGGCTCTATAAGCCTTCAGTAAAACATATGCTTGAATGTGTGGCTGCACCAAAATGTCCATTCTTTGTTTAAAATTGTGCATGTACGTTCCTAAAATAATACATATGTCGATGGTATTATTAGGTCGATGGTATGTCGAAGTTGTCCTACTAGGAAATAAGAGTATACCATGGAGAACGAGTCGCAGCACACAAGTGCGATGCCAAGGGATTTTACATTCCAATTGTTAAAGCAAATTACAAATGATTTTTCTGAGGACAACAGAATTGGTGTTGGCGGGTACGGATTAGTCTACAAGGTATGATCGTTATATACCATTTTTCTTTTCAAATGATACTATCACAAACTACGAGAACCCATATTAACACGATAATTTAACAGGGAACGCTTGACAGTGGTGAAGTGATTGCTGTGAAGAAACTTTATTACAAGCATCCAGGACTTGACAGCGACAAGCAATTTCAGAATGAGTGTACTAACCTTATGAGGGTTCGTCATCAAAATATAGTAAGGTTAGTTGGCTACTGCCATGAAATACGTCATAAATGCGTAGAGCACAATGGG